GTCTCAGATCATCTCATATCTTTTATATTCTGCTGGGTGTTAAAGAGGATACCCAGTGAGTCAGGGGAATATCTGTGCAGCCCTGCCCAATGTGAACAGGCAGTTGTGACCAGCAAGGGGAGGTGTCAGAGAAAGAACTTCTGCTTTAGAGTAGATGGTCATTTCAGGGAAGCACCGAAATACTCTGCAAGGAGTGTCACTTGTTTCTCCAATCCCGGGGAAAAAACTGTTATTAAAACACTGGAGAGAGTCTATAAACACAAAGATGCTGCTTTGCACTGCAAGTCTTTCAGAATTAGTTTGGCATACAGGGATTGGGGAGATTTGGGGGCTAAATTGTGGGCAGCTGTTGTATAAGGTAGTGGTTTTTCGTGTGGTAATTGTGACATATACATTCACTTCCCCCTCTTAGTAACCAGGTTCTTCCTTTTTTCTCAGGTCTTCCTTTATCAAGTATAACGATTAACTTATCTTTCTTGATATTGATTAGAGCATATTCAGACATTATTGATTCTTAACAATAAGTATAATATATGTGATGTTATAGTATGGTAGAACCATTTTAATCTCTGCTAAGTATTAAAAACTACTTGTGGCCGGGCACGGTGGCTCATGCCTGTAATCCCAGCACTTTGCGAGGCTGAGGTGGGTGGATCATGAGGTCAGGAGATCGAGACCATCCTGGCTAACACGGTGAAACCCCGTCACTACTAATAATACAAAAAATTAGCCAGGCGTGGTGGCAGGTGCCTGTAGTCCCAGCTATTCGGGAGGCTGAGGCAGGAGAATGGCTTGAACCTGGGAGGTGGAGCTTGCAGTGAGCTGAGATCGTGCCACTGCACTCCAGCCTGGGCAACAGAACGAGACTCAGTCTCAAAAACAACAAAAAGTACTTGTGCCAGGAAGAGTGTCTCGCGCTTGTAATCCCAGCACTTTGGAAGGTCAAGGTGGGCAGATCACGAGGTCAAGAGGCCGAGACCATCCTGGCCAACATGGTGAATCCCCATCTCTACTAAAAATACAAAAATTGGCTGGATGTGGTGGTGCTCAACTTTAGTCCCAGCTACTCGGGAGGCTGAGGCAGGAGAATCGCTTGAACCCAGGAGGTGCAGGTTGCAGTGAGCTGAGATCGAGCCACTGCAGCGAGACTCCATCTAAAAATAAAAAGTACTTGTTTAAAGAAAAATAAAAATAATTACTTAGAAGTAACAAGCCAGGCCAGGTGTGGTGGCTCACACCTGTAATTGCAGGACTTTGGAAGGCCGAGGTGGATGGATAGCTTGAGGTCAGGAGTTTAAGACCAGCGTGGCCAATGTGGTGAAACCCGTTTCTACCAGAAATACAAAAATTAGCCGGGCTTGGTGGCATGGGCCTATAATCCCAACTACGCAGGAGGCAGAGGCTCAGGAATTGCTTGACCAGGGAGGTAGAGTGAGCTAGAGGTGGCAGTGAGCTAAGATCACTCCAGCCTGGGTGACAGAGCGAGACTGTGACTCAAAAATAAATAAATAAAATACAATAAAAAGAAGAAACAACGCATGGGAAATAAAATGGCTAGGCTTGGTGGCTCACGTCTGTAATTCCAGCACTTTGGGAGGCTGAGGTGGGTGGATCGCTTGAGCTCAGGAGTTCCAGACCAGCCTGGGCAACATGGTAAATCCCTATCTCTACAAAAAATTAGCTGAGCGTGGTGGTGCACACCTGTGGTCCAAGCTACTCAGGAGGCTGAGATGGGATGATTGCTTGGCCCAGAAGGCGGAGGTTGCAGTGAGCTGAGACCACACAACTGCACTCCAGCCTGGGAGACAGAGTTAGACCCTATCTCAAAAAAGAAAGAAAGAAAAAGAAAGAGAGAAAGAGAGAAAGAGAGAAAGAGAGGAAGAGAGAAAGAAAGGAAGAAAGGAAGAAAGGAGGGAGGGAGGGAGGGAGGGAGATAGATCACCTTTTTTTTTTTTTTTTTTGAGACAGAGTCTAGCTCTGTCGCCCAGGCTGGAATGCAGTGGCAGGATCTCGACTCACTGCCAGCTCCGCCTCCTGGGTTCACGCCATTCTCCTGCCTCAGCCTCCTGAGTAGCTAGGATTACAAGTGCCCACCACCATGCCCGGCTAATTTTTGTGTTTTTAGTAGAGACGGGGTTTCACCTTGTTAACCAGGATGGTCTCGATCTCCTGACCTCGTGATCCGCCCACCTCAGCCTCCCAAAGTGCTGGGATTACAGGCATGAGCCACCGCGCCCGGCCGGAAGGGTATCATATTAATTGGCTTATCATGCCCCATCTACCTATATTCCTAGAAGGATTTACTTATCTAAGGGACATTTTTGACACTTACAAAAATAATTTTATTAATGAATCTTTCCTATAATTATGTTATCTAATTAGGTTCTAGCTTATTTAGATATTAGCAGTCCTAAGGATATACTTCGGACGTGTTTTATTCCCCTAATTAGACATTTTGATCACCTATTTATTAGGCACTCTGAATCTAGAGATAGGTAAAATCCAGTCTCTGCCCCTAGAGTGCTCACAGCTTAGAGAGGTAAGCAAATACTCGCCATGGGATTCAGTAAGTACTGAGTGATGGGTGTGTTTGAGATGGTTGGTGGCACAAAGGAAATCAGATCTTCTTAGGTTTTTCTGGGAAAGTTTCACAAATGACAAGAAATGCTGGTTATTGAAGTATGATCAGGAGTTAGCTGATTGGAAAGAATATTCCAGATGGAAGAATATAAAGGAGTGAATCTCCAGTAACATGGTGTTATGGACTGAATTGTGTCCCCAAAATTCAATACTACTGCCCTATTCTGGGAATAGAGTTCACTAAAAATCCTGGTATTAGAGACTAGTAATATTAAATTATAGTCTCTTAAATTTCAGCCTCTTAAATTTTATTTAAAGATGTTACTTCTTCTAAAGAGATAACTTTTTTTTTTTATTTTTTTAAAACGGAGTTTTGCTCTTGTTGCCCAGGCTGGAGTACAATGGCGCAATCTCGGCTCATGGCAACCTCCGCCTCCAGGGTTCAAGCAAGCGATTTTCCTGCCTCAGCCTCCCAAGTAGCTGGGATTACAGGCATGTGACACCACGCCCAGCAAATTTCGTATTTTTAGTAGAAATTGGATTTCGCCATGTTGGTCAGGCTGGTTTCGAACTCCTGACCTCAGGTGATCCACCAGCCTTGGCTTCTCAAAATGCTGAGATGACAGGCGTGAGCCAACGTGCCCGGCCTGCTCAATATTAAAATAGGTATCTACTTTAACAATTTCAGGCCATGGGTTTTTTGTTTGTTTTGGGTTTTTTTGTTTTTGTTTTTTGGGACAGGGCCTTGCTCTGTTGCCCAGGCTGGAGTGCAGTGGCATGATCACGGCTCATTGCAAGCCTTGACCTCCTGGGCTCAAAAGTCTCCCTCCTCAGCCTCTCCAGTAGCTAGGACTACAGGCACACACCACCACGCTCGGCTAATTTTTAAATTTTTTGTAGATACAAGGTCTCACTATATCACCCAGGCTGGTCTTGAACTCCTGAGCTCAAGCAATGCTCCCACCTAGGCCTCCCCAAACCATGTTTTAATACCTATGAGTGACAAAGATGGCTATTGAAAAACAGAAGAACCTATGACTGGCAGAATTGAAGTCCTATGGCAATTTATTATAAAAAGGAAGAAAGATCCAGATTGTTTCTATACCCTCTGTAATTAATTCAACAATGATTAAGCCTTTCTATGTGCAAGGAACTTACACATTTCAAAAGTTTAAAAATTACGCAGAGAGTTGATGAGAATACTGTATTAATACAATCACCAGATGCCCAGATTTTCCAAGGCAATCCTAGTTTCAGTATTTTGTCCCAGTTTCAGACTGTGTGGAATGATATAAACATGTCAGTTATGAACATGATGAGTTTGTTGTTTGAAGTTTTCCAAAAGTCCTATATTATGTATTCGAGGCTAACATACAAAATAGAGTAAAAGTAAACTTCACATACTTCGTTATGGGTTAATGTACTCCTTGGCCAAGTGTGGTGACTCACACCTATAATCTGAGGAATTTGGGAAGCTGAGACAGGGGAATAGCTTGAGGCCAGGAGTTTGAGACCACCATGGGCTACATAGTGAGTCCCTGTCTCTATAATTTAAAAATAAAAGTAATGGCTGGGCACGATGGCTCACGCCTGTAATCCCAGCACTTTGGGAGGCCGAGGTGGGTGGATCACGAGGTCAGGAGATCGAGACCATCCTGGCTAACATGGTGAAACCCCGTCTCTACTAAAAATACAAAAAATTAGCCGGGTGCGGTGGCGGGCGCCTGTAGTCCCAGCTACTCAGGAGGCTGAGGCAGGAGAATGGCGTGAACCCGGGAGGCAGAGCTTGCAGTGAGCTGAGATCGCGCCACTGCACTCCAGCCTGGGCGACAGAGCAAGACTCCATCTCAAAAAAAAAAAAAAAAAAAAAAAAACATAAAAATAAAAATAATGTACTCACTAACCTTGGTTTCACTGTCAAGGTTAAAGGTGAAACCTTGGTTTCACCCTGTTTGTGTGGCCTGCAAGCAAGACTATATGACCTTCCTAAACCAAATGCTTCAGGGGGAACTGAAGTGTTCATAAGTTTTAGTTTGTTCCTTTGTTCTGAGAAATACAGTAAACGTTTGTTTTGTTTTGTTTCGTTTTGAGAGAGAGTCTTGCTCTGTTGCCCAGGTTGGAGCGCAGTCGCGCGATCTCGGCTCACTGCAACCTCCCCCTCCGAGGTTCCAGCGATTCCCCTGCTTCAGCCTCCCAAATAGCTGGAATTACAGGCATGTATCACCACGCCCAGCTTATTTTTGTATTTTGAGTAGAGACGGGGTTTCCCCATGTTGGCCAGGCTGGTCTCCAACTCCTGACCTCAGGTGATCCGCCCGCCTCGGCCTCCCAAAGTGCTGGGATTGCAGGTGTGAGCCACTGTGCCTGGCCGACAATAACCTTTTTTATCTGAGGAATCTGAATCCCCTTTAAATTAACAGGTCCAGAGAGGCATTGAAATGAGACTGCAGTCACTTACCATCCCTGCTTGAGCCAAGTAATTATTTTGAAGTGGCCTTCTGTATGAACTCCAGATCAACAGCTATAAATTAACATGGGCATGGTGATGCATGCCTGTAATCCCAGCTACTCAGGAGACTAAGGTAGGAGGATCACTTGAGATTGGGGTGACATAGAAAGACCCTGTCTAGAAGAAAAAAAAAATTAATTGAATGATACAGTATATTGGACACCATAACTCATATTCTGTAGTTGAACTAGGTATAGCCAATCACTGATCAGTGTTCTTTCTTTTTTTTTTTTTGAGACAGTCTCACTCTGTCGCCATGCTGGAGTGCAGTGGCGTGATCTCGGCTCACTGCAACCTCTGCCTCCCAGGTTCAAGTGATTCTCCTGCCTCAGCCTCCTGAGTAGCTGGGACTATAGGCACGCGCCACCATACCCAGCTAATTTTTGTATTTTTAGTGGAGACGGACTTTCACCATGTTGGCCAGGCTGGTCTTAAACTCTTGACTTCAGGTGATCCACCTGCCTCGGCCTCCCAAAGTGCTGGGATTACAGGCGTGAGCCAGTGGGCCTGGCCGATCAATGTTATTTCTGTAAACCTGTGAGAATTCCTGAAACACAATGTTTGTTTTCACCATTCTCCTGATTGATCCTTTTTTCTTTAAAATCTCAAGGTTCTCCTTTGTTCTCTGGAGGACTTCTTAGTGATTTCTAGGATACAGTCCTCAACTTTGGCCCAAATATACCATCTACCTATATTAATTTTGCCTCTGTTTCTTTCTTTAGTTCAACATGTCATTCAATTGACGGTTCATTCACGCATATGTCCAGGACTATGTAAAGTGCCTGCGAACAGAAAGAAGACACAAAATCCCTGCTCTTAAGGGATTTACACGTGAAATAGGGTGACAAAGAAGACAATTAAGGTGAGACTCTGAGGAGCATGGAGTGTGCCTGTAGTCCCAGCTACCAGGAGGATCGCTTGAGCCCAGGAGTTACAGTCCAGCCTGGGGTAGCACAGCTAGATGCTGTCTCTTAAATTAAAAAGAAGAAGAAAATTAAAAGACACTGGCCAGGCACGGTGGCTCATGCCTATAATCCCGACATTTTCGGAGGCCGAGGCGGGCAGATCACCTGAGGTCAGGAGTTTGAGACCAGCCTGGCCAACATGACAAAACCCCATCTCTACTAAAAATACAAAAAAATCAGCTGTGTGGTGGTGGGAGGCTGTAATCCCAGCTATTTGGGAGACTGAGGCAGGAGAATTACTTGAACCCGGGAGGGGGAGGCTGCAGCGAGTGTACCATTGCACTCCAGCCTGGGCAACAAGAGCAAAACTCCATCTCAAAAAAAAAAAAAAAAAAAGAAAATTAAACTACATAAAAACAGGTTATGAGGGATCAAGTTCCTGGAAGAGATGATGTTTCATCTAAAACTTGAAGGTCGCTGGGTACAGTGGCTGACACCTGTAATCCCAGCACTTTGGGAGGCCGAGGCAGGCGAATCACGAGGTCAGGAGATCGAGACCATCCTGACTAACACGGTGAAACCCCGTCTCTACTAAAAAAATACAAAAAATCAGCCAGGTGTGCTAGCAGACGCCTGTAATCCCAGCTACTCAGGAGGCTGAGGCAGGAGAATGGCGTGAACCTGGGAGGCGGAGGTTGCAGTGAGCCGAGATTGCGCCATTGCACTCCAGCCTGGGTGACAGAGCGAGACTCCTTTAAAAAAAAAAACAAAAACAAAAACAAAAAAACCTGAAGGTCTTCATCAGGTTTTTCAATACCCTCAACTTCCACATATTCCTATAACTTCTACATACAACCATTCATTGATTCAACTAACATGTAGTGGGTTTCCGTTCTATTCTGGGCCTGCTCAAAACAACTAAGCCAGATCATGCTCCCATGGAGTTCCAATCTAGATACCTACAATTCAAGATAAAATATAGTATTATAAGACATGCATGATCTTTGGCTAGGCACAGTGGCTCACACCTGTAATCCTAGCACTTTGGGAGGCCAAGGCGGGTGGATCACCTGAATTCAGGAGTTTGAGACCAGCCTGGCCAACATGGTACAACCCCATCTCTACAAAACTTGGCTGGGTGTGGTGCCACATGCCTATAATCCCAGCTAGTTGGGAGGCTGAGACAGAAAAATCACTTGATCTCGGAAGGCAGAGGTTGCAGTGAACCGAGATCACGCCACTGCACTTTAGCCTGGGCGATAGAGTGAGGCTCTCGGGAAAAAAAAAAAAACCCAAAAAGATATGCATAATCTTCAAATGTATGTCCTTTGGCCAGGAGGATCTTGCATTAGAATTGACCCCTAAAGGATGGGAAAGATTTGTACAAGCAGCAATGAAAGGGATTTATTTTTTAAGACAGAGTAAGACAAAGTAAAACCTATGAGGCAGGGAATGGGGCCTGTTTGAAAACTGACAAATAGTTAGATTGGCTGAGGCAAAGCGTAGGTATACTTCTAATTTTTTTTTCTTGGGTGTATATTTTAAGTATATTCTAAGCCTGGCATCATACGTTGGGATCATGCTGAAGAGTCAAGATATATCTCATTGATAATTATATATATTAATTTCATGCTGAAATGAGAATTTGGGGGCATATTAGGGTATATAAAGTATAATATTAAAATTAATGTGTTTCTTTTTATTTTCTTAATGTGGCTACTGAGTTTTTTTGTTTTGTTTTGTTTTGTTTTTTTGACTCAGTGTCTCACTCTGTCACCCAGACTGGAGTGCAGTGGCACTGTCTTGGCTCATTGCAACATCTGCCTCCTGGATTCAAGTGATTCTCATGCCTCAGCTTCCCAAGTAGCTGGGGTTACAGGTGTGTGGACACACCTGGCTAAATTTTTGTATTTTTCATAGAGACGGGGTTTTGCGACGTTGAGACCCCATGCCCAGAAGAAAAATTTTAAGTGACATATATGACTTATACTTTATGTATATTGGACAGTACTGGTCTAGGCTTTATTCAATAATCATTGAAGATATTTGAGTAGGAAATTGATAAGATTCAAATTCTGATTTAGGATAATTCATGTAGCACTGATGTGGAATGGATTCATTTTTGAAGAAGGGAGAGGGAGGAGGAGGGAAGACCTTCCTGAAAGTGGGACGGACCTGAGAGCTGGGAGTAGGCCCTTCAGGATCAATGGGAGTGATGGAAGGATGATGTAAACCCAGTTTAGACAGGAAAATCAACATTTCTCAAATGTTTTCCTTCTTAATCTTGAGGACTTATTTTCTACAGTGTTTTCAAATTCAAGTGAACTAACCTAATAAAGGAAGATTAAAAAGTAACATGCTTTAACAAAAGTTGTTCTTTATGAGGAATATTACAAATGCAAGGAAAGTTTTAGATCAGTTATTAGCTTTTTTGTTTCTGTTTTTGTTTTTGGGTTTTTTTAGACAGAGTTTTCGCTCTTGTTGCCCAGGGTGGAGGGCAGTGGTGCAATCTCGGATCACTGCAACCTCCGCCTCCCAGGTTCAAGTGATTCTTCTGCTTCAGCCTCCTGAGTAGCTTAGATTACAGGCACGCACCACCACTCCCAGCTAATTTTTTAGTATTTTTAGTAGAGACAGTGTTTCACCATGTTGGCCAGGCTGGTCTCGAACTCCTGACCTCAGGTGATCTGCCTGCCTCGGCCTCCCAAAGTGCTGGGATTACAGGTGTGAGCCACCGCGCCTGGCCCGGTTACTAGCTTTTTAGTGTGTCTTGAAATGCCTCTTATATTGTTTATGAAAGAGATAGTTTTCCCTGTCTTTACCTCAATGCGTTTAAAGCCTTGTATTCCTTGACTTTAGATTTTATGTTTGTTTTCCACTTGGTTATCATATAGCAAGCATCCATCCCACAAAGCTGCATGAAACTAGGATTGAGATTTACATTATGCAGATGTAGATTCTAGGACTGAGATTTACATCACAACTCTTGTCTAGTGACCAAGGTGAAGGACTATCTAAGCTTGGACATCTATGTTGCTTTGGGGGCCAGCCCACTCCAAAACTGGTTTTTGAGCATCAGGTTCCTCCTAGGTCCCATTTGCTCAAGGAATACTTGTCTCAATACGCTCAACACACTTTTTTTTTTTTTGAGACAGGGTCTCACTCCGTTGCCCAGGCTGCATAGCTCACTGCAGCTTCTACCTCCTGGGCTCAAGTGATCCTCCCACTTCAGCCTCCCAAGAAGCTGGGTCTATAGGCGCATGCCATTACCACACCCAGCTAATTTTTTTTTTTTAGGTAGAGAAGGGGTCTCACTGTGTTGTCCAGGCAATGCTCGATATGCAATTTAAAATATTTTCCTGATAAACACAACTTTGTTGTTTTGGTAGGGCTACATATTGCTTTAATTTGTAACTTTAAAACATACAATATGTTTCAAAGACTTAGTACAAAAAAGTAAGCTATTAATAATTTTTATATTGAATGCATGCTGAAATGACAATGTTTTGGATATATTGGGTTTAAATAAAATAATTATGAAAAAAAATTCTCATTTCTTTTAAAATCTTTAATGTGGCTACTAGAAACCATAATGTGACAGGCTCACATTATATTTCTATTGCACAGCACTGCTCTTTGGGATATCCTTTTTCCTTTAGATGCCAAATTCAGTTGTGGTGGTGACTAAAGGGGCCTCTGGCTCAGCATTTCCTGGAAGGCAAGGGTTAGATGGGGGAGGGGAGTTGTCATCAAATCAGATTTTAACAATATCCTATTAAAGCAAAGGAAGCAAGAGTAATCTAGTTTTCTCGGGTACAGCAGTATTAATTTGAATTCTAGGCCCTCAACCAAAACCCTAAAGGAAGATGCACTTTCTCCAGTTCACCACTGGGAAAAAGTTTATCTCTTTACCAAGCTTCCTTCACCCACCCTGCCACCTCCAGTACTGAAAGGGTTGCCAGCTACAAATAAAGGGACATTAGGAATTTGATAGTTGATATACCTCCTCCAAAAAAGCCTAGATACTATCTCCCACTTACCCAGCTGTTTAAACACAAACTAAATTGTTTTGCTTTGTTTGCTCTCACCCTGGAGCCACTCTTCTCTCTCCCCATTATCCCTCCCTCAGTTCTCATTCCTATTTTCTTCTTCTACTTAGCTTGTTCAGTTTTCTTGTATAGCTTAGTAATCAGATACTTATCTCACACTTTTCTTTCAAGAAACTCACAGTCCATAACTACTAGGGTATTCATTATCTTTTCCAGTTATGTGAGAATTGCTTGCCCTAGTCCCTTCTTATTAAATACAAAAAGGTTAGAAGGGAAACACTATAAATGCCTTGTGGGTCAGAACTCTTTTGTCCTATTATTATTATTACTATTATTATTACTATTTTTTGAGACAGAGTCTTGCTCTTTCGCCCAGGCTGGAGTGCAGTGGCGCGATCTCAGCTCACTGCAAGCTCCGCCTCCCGGGTTCACACGATTCTACTGCCTCAGCCTCCCAAGTAGCTGGGACTAGACGCCCACTACCACGCCCAGTTAATTTTTTTTTTGTATTTTTAGTAGAGACGGGGTTTCACTGTGTTAGCCAGGATGGTCTCGATCCTTTGACCTCATGATCCGCCCGCCTCAGCCTCCCAGAGTGCTGGGATTACAGGCGTGAGCCACGACGCCTGGCCTTTTGTCCTATTATTCACCGAAGAATCACCAGCTTCTTGGAGAGTACCTGATACATAGCATGTACTCAGCAAATATCTGCTTAATTGAACTCGATATTCATTGCATTTCTAGATGCTATAAGCTTGAGACTAGCAAAAAGCGATGCAGAATTCAGAATGGGTGATATGGCAAATACCTTATTAAAGAATGTGGGGTCGGGCGCGGTGGCTCACACTTGTAATCCCAAAACTCTGGGAGGCCGAGGTGGGCAGATCACAAGGTCAGGAATTTGAGACCAGCCTGGCCAATATGGTGAAATCCTGTCTCTACTAAAAATACAAAAATTAGCTGGGCGTGGTGGCGGGTGCGTATAGTCCCAGCTACTCGGTAGGCTGAGGCAGGAGAATTGCTTGAACCCGGGAGGCGGAGGTTGCAGTGGGCCGAGATCGCACCACTGCACTCCAGCC